TGTATACATAAATAAAAACATCAGTTAACACTGATAGAAAATGAAATACGAACCGCCAGAGTTGATTTGAATAGGCAAGGTAGAAGTAGGTATTTTCATAAAATTTTCTTCATCTATTTTGTGACCTAATAATGACTAATAAGATACGGTGGAGTAATGGATAGCGACTGAGGATTGAGGAATCGGAGAGCCGAGTTCGAATTCCAGTCGAATCCATTGCATTATTGGGAAAGGTAGGAATCCCCTTCTTCTCCTATGGGTAAATAGCAGGACAGACCGGGCATCTATAGCCATGAATGGCAACTGGTCTACTGCAAAAAGAAATGGCAACCTATTGCGGGAAAAACCTGCCTCGTCAGTCATGTATCGAAAGATACATGATTGTGTATCAAGCATGGCACATAACTGACTGAATAATGACTCTTACCGTTTTTGACTGAGTTTAAAATATGACATATACACTGCGATAAGATTCAGTGTGAAGAAAAAGTAATCAGGTGCCATGTCGCAGAGAGACACACTTTTGCTTGAATAGAGATGTTTGAAAGTCGTCTTCGAGAAGCTAGATGGGCATTTCGGAGTATTGTTTTGCATTGTCATGTGTGAGGTGTCGGTAATGCTCCTATTTTAACAACTCGGGTCAAATGAGAATTTCTAATCCTGTAGAAAAGACTCCAGACAGCCACTTAGTATAGACGTTCGGTAAGATCGATGCATTTTAAGTGCAGTAGTAACAAACCGCACAGTAGCCTCAGCACAGATCAGAACACATCTGGCTCCAGGAAGATCAAGACGGATCATCTGGTATTGTTTCACTGCAACAGTAAAATGGACACACGTGTCTCTAACCAGTTTTCCTCTTATGGGTGAGCTTTAGACAATGACATACTGCGATGAGATTCAGTGTGATAAGCAGGTGACATGTCACGTCAAAATAGCGTTATGCACATCTCTAGTGGTGTTGCAAGGAATTCGACTAACTCTATGTAGTTCAATGGCTGTCGTTTCCATATAAGACATAAACCTGTACAACATCATCTTCTACAGTGTAGCCACCTACAACACAAACCCAACACTGGAATCCCTGAAGTAGCCACCTACGACACAAACCCAACACTGGAATCGTGAAGTGTAATGCTACATCTTTCGCTCACCTTCGGTATTGCTTTGGCTATCTCGAAAGCGTTGGTCAGGATTTGGCATACCCGTCTTCTTCACAAGTTGAAAAGTTATGATGTCTCCGAACGAATTTTTCAACTGATTCAGTCTTTCTTATTTGATCGCGAAATAAATGTCATTTTGAACGGTCACTATTCTAGATCATTTCTTACAAATGCAGATGTCCCCCATAGCTCTACGTGGACCTGTGTTGTTCCAAATTTCCATCAACGACCTTCCTGATGGAATCAGCTCTCAACTTAATATCTATGCTTATGATACAACAATTTACTTCTTTCTCGATAGTAGGTCTAATAAGATCGATAAGGTCAAATTGGGGACTGATCTCTAAAGAGACCAACAATTTGTTGTTAAATGGAGCAGAGGCTGGCTTGTTAATTTTAACGCCTCAAAAACTGCTCTCTATTAATCATCTTAGAGACCCTTCTTTGCCATCCATAAGCATGGCTGATGCTAACCTCCAGGAAAGTGAGTCTCTGGCTAACATTCTCGGCTGACATGAAGTGAAAAGACTCTATTGAATCCATTGCTAGGTCTGCTGCAAGGAAAATTGGTTCACTGTGTTGTGCTAGACAATTTTTCACTCCTGAATCTATCTTACATATCTATGTCTACCATTCTTCCATGCCTCGAATGTTGTTGCCTCAAGTGGCTCCTGCTTTATATTTAGATTCTTGATAAAATCCAGTTACTTCCCTGTGCCTTTTTCTATAAATACTTTCATGGTGATTATTTGGATTAGCTCTTTGCAATGATAACTGGACTTTATGAATTTAATTGCAGTTCTAGATTCGCAACAACGTCCAATCGGTTTACAATTGAATTGGTTAGATGTAACCGTAAGTTCTATGTTAACAGTTTCTTCTATCGCACTTCTTGCTTGCGGAACTCTCTTCTTGCTTTCCAGACAAATTTGATTTTTTTAAATTTAAATGTAATCTCAGTCGTTATTTACTGTCATACTGATTACATTTCTATTGTCCTCGCTTCTCAATTTAATTCTCTTTTCTAATTCTCACACGCCCAATAACTCCATGTGTCTTAGTGGCTTTACTTCCTTACATGGGGTGATTTTGATTTAAAAAAATTTAGATTAAAAATTTGTGGAAGGAACGTTGAATATTGTTCAGCTCATTCTGCTGCCATTCTTGCTGCAGCAGCAGGAGTTCAAGTGGGATAATATTCCACATGCAAGGATATGCCCATGCTGCACAACATGATCTGCAAGATGCTTGATGCGACCGCCATACCCTTTCTTTCTTTCAATATGTATGTACACTATCTGAGTATGTAAATCAGCAAGATGGGATGAAAAGATTGTTGCTGCTGCTTGTTGTTTATGGATGCAACATGTGCCGAAAGGTAAAGAGGATAGATCAGGAAATATTACGGAAAAATAACACCAGACGAAAGCAAAACTCGACGCACTTTACATTGTTATGTATGTGGTTGGATGTTTTGAAAAGAAACCTGAGCTTATCAACATTTCTGTAATCTATTTTAAGTAAATTCTTTAGCTGCACAGACCATTGAAAAGTTGGAATGATTTCAGTAAATGTTGATGCAAATCATGTTGAATAAATTTTTTTATTTATAAATAACTCTATTTATTAATAATATATATACTGTATATAAACACACCCTTGTGCAAATTAATTGAAACAAAACGAATAATCCCGTTATTATTTACTTTTTGTTCGTATTTTATCACTGAAACATGATTCAGTGCACATGTTAGTACTTCGTAAGTCCATTCCATGAAGTATTTCCTTGCAGATTGATTATAGATTCTCGATTGGATTTAAATCGGGAAAGTTTCTAAGCCAGTCTATGATTTACTCACTGGTAAGATTTGCCAGTGTGTTCGTGCAGCGTTACAATTTTCGTACGCTTCCTTGGAGTAACGTCCAACGAAGACAATGGCCGTACAACAACTAATCGACAGTCGAGACAATAGTGTCTGGGCGTGATGAAAATCTGACGCAATCACTGATGACGCAATATTCTTCAAGTAACTGCTAATGACCTAATCTAAGGAAAAAATAGAAATCGATTATACCCTGTCACTCTAGTGGGTCTAAAACTAACCGTATGGTGAAGGAAAGGAAACTAAAACGGTCGTTTCAATTAATTTGCACAAGTAAAGTAAAAAGTATGTATGTAAAAGGGTATAAGTAAAAAATATATCGATATCATAAATGCATGTGTTTCTGTTTACAAGTGTGCAGATTACATGTTATAATTCCTTTCATTGAAATAAATAATCTAGAATCAATAAAGAAACTCTCCCAATCAATGAGATAAAGGAAATAGAATGGTTTCAATAATGTTCACTTGCTCTTGCTTGAAGATGGCCACTTGCCCTTTATTGTTTGTTGTCGCTGTTCTCTTTTCACATAAACACATATTTTTCGAAATAACACAGGGCTTTTCGAATTTGAACTGTAGTCGGAGATTTTCTCATCTATATTCTAATAGTTTATAATTTTCGCAATCTTGTTCATTCAAAAATCATCATGCCAATATTCTACAAAATATATGCAAAAAGTTGTATTTCCGCAGATTCTACAATCTGTGGCGAAGAATCCCTGAAACTTTTATGAATCTGTAAGTGGCTATTTTCACCAAGCAAAATGTTATTGCTACCAATTTGAATTTCTTGGTTGTGTAGTCATATCCTTCAATGGCAACACCTAAAACAATCTTGAGTGAAATTAAGAGTCAGGCTACTGTAATTTGAAATATATAGAACTAATATATGAAACGTTGTATTTTGAGGGGATTCCATATACAGCAAAAGGCCAAGTAATATTTATAAATGATGTAGAGGGATAAATGATAAAGAAAGCCTTCGGTGATTTTAGGGTTGTTTTTACTTTGCGATTTTATATATATGTTAGTGTTAGCACTTTAAGTTGCCGTCTGTCAATGCAAAACGAAAGAATAGAGTATATTGTCTATCTGTAATCCAGGCAGACTGATCTTTTTCTCTATTCATCGGCCTTTCGACGCGATTTTATTTCTTTTTGGCCATCTGACAATTATCATATGTATGCCAGATAATACACTTTTTGTCTTCTTATTAATCTACTAACATTTATTTCTCAGAATAAAGATAATCCTTTTAATGTCTTTTCTATAAATACATTTATGGCAACTGTTCGAATGAGCTCTTCGCTCTGGTACCTAGAGATTTTTTCATTTAAGCGCAGCACTAGAATGGCGTCGAGATCTCTTCAATTTACGGTTAATCTGGCTAGATGTAGCCGTAAGTTCTATGCTAACAGTTTCTTCTCTCTCACTTCTCGCTTGTGGAACTCCCTTCCGGCTTCACGCTTTCCAGCCAACTTTAATCTATAAAAATTTAAATGCAATGTCAATCGCTATCTACTGCCCTCCTGATTACTCTCTTCTCTTTCGGTTCTACATTAATGTTTCTGTTCCTAATTCTTTCATATCCTGTAACTCCCTTGTGTTTTAGTGGCATTAATGACTTTATTGGGGTGATTCCAATTTTTAAAAAAATCCTACCAATACCACGAATGACTATAATAAAAAAAAAAAAAAAACTACAGCAAATGAACTGACATGTTTGCTTATTACAGGAAACTGAAACCTTAATAACTGGCTGAACCCGTAAAAATTCCATCGGTCTTGGATGATGGATTTTCTCATACCTCTGCTTTTCTCTTGTCCTTTACTTGTATCTTCTCAATTTCTCCCTTATCCTTTCCAATCTTCCTTGCTTGTCTATAATTAGTTTTATGTGTGAAAAAAAAAACAAATGAAAACTTTCTACTGCATCCTGCTTTAATCCTTCTATGCTCTCTCTCACTTCCTGTCTCTTTTCTCTTTCTCTCTCTTTATTTCTCTCTCTTTCCCTTTCTATTTCCTCTATCTTTCTATCTCTTTCTGTTTCTCTCTCACACTTTCTCTCTCTTTATTTTTCTCTCTTTCTATTTCTCTCTCTGTCTTTCTATCTCTTTCTCTCTCTCACTTTCTCTCTGTTTCTCTCTGTTTCTTTCTGTTTCTCTCTCTTTATTTCTCTTTCTATCACTCTCTTTCTCTCCAACACTTTCTCTTTCTTTCTCTCTCTCTCTTTCCCCCTCTCTTTCTCTCTCTTTTTTCTCTCTTTCTCTCTCTCTATTTCTCTCTTATTTTCTCTTTCTTTGTCTTTCTCGTTCTATCTCTCCCTCTTTCTGTCTCTTTCTATTTTTCTCTCTCTCTTTCTATCTCTCCCTCACTTTCCGTTCACAAAGAATTTTAATGTATTATAATATTTTTGCGCCTTTCCTTTTTTTTCTTTCATTCATTGACTCATGATATGTTAACAGCAAATTCTTCTCTCTCTCTTCTCTCTCTCTCTCTCTCTTCGTTTTTATCCTTACTCCCCCTTAAGATATGTACATATATTTATTTTATTTTCAGCTGATTTTCGTTTTCCTTCGTCTCTAAATTTCTTACTTCCTAACTTTGCTCCTCATTCCCGTTTCCCCCTCTTCGATTCTTTCACACTTTCTATTAGGACGTAAATTTCTTGATCAAAAGTGTAACTGATTCCAGCTCAATGGGATCAAGCAGATACTACACTCTGATCCACGGTAAAAATGCGTAACCGTGGTACATGCATAGAACCAAATACTTATGCAGACAGATTACGAGATATTTAAAAATATAAAATCCAACGAGTGGATGCTAATGTGAAAATAATCTGTCCTGAAAACAAATAGAAGATTTTGCAACAGATCGTAATTAGTGGACATAGAAGTGTTAGCTCATCTACAAAAACCTTACGCCAAGCGACGCCCTTTCACCAATGAGAAAAGAGAAGTCGCTAAAGGTCAAAAGACTCACCGACAATTGAAACTACATTCCACATTCTCGAAGTCGATATTATTTACATTGCTGTCATATATGGACTGGTACCCCGGTTGTACGTCTCGAGGTACTCGATAAAATCCAGAGACGAATATACAATGGGATAGGTCCTGATCTGGCATCTAGTCTACAGTCGCTTTCTCACAGTCTTGCCGTAGTTTCCCTCTGTCTCATCTACAAGTATTTTCACAGCAACTGTTCCGACGAGCTACTTTCGCTGGTTCCCGGACTGCATGAATTTAAGCTAGCTACCAGGCTGGCATCCCGGCCCCACCCTTAAATGTAACCGTCTCTTCTACTCAAACAGCTTCTTCTCTCGCACTTCCCGTCTGTGAAACTCCCTTCCCTCTGCTCGCTTCTCCGATGACTATAATTTTCAAATATTCAAGTGTAATGTCAATCGACATCTGATACCTTGAGCTTGTTCTCCGTCCTTCTATGTATCCTTTCCTCAAACACGCCTCGTTACTCTTGTTCTCAATCCTCTGTAACCCCTTGCGTGCTAGTGGCATTCCCTCCTTGCTTGGGGTGAATTGTCCTCGTTTCACGTGCCATGCCTCATCCAGATGTCTCAGTATCAGTTATCTCCCTTTAACTTAACTCTCCAAGTTTTTGTTCACCACAGCTGTAGCTAGGTATTGAACTCACAACTCTTTGGGTCAAGTCACTGGATTCAACAACGATGTATCCTTGAGGACATCAGTGTATGAATTTTTTCTCTTAAAAATCTAATGTCTCAGTAACCATTTCTTATCAGAGCTCATATTACAAGTTGTTATTATTGTTTTTGTTTAGCAATTCGTATTACTGGTTTCCGTATTGTATTCATTTCTATGCTTGGCCGGCTTAGGAGATTTTTGTGGTCTACTCTGTTTGTTTGTTTTTTCTGTTGTTCTTGATACGTCGTCATAATTTCTATTTACCTTTTAAATTCCCCATAGACTGCTTTTTTTTTATTTACACTATTTACACTGTTCGGACTGTTGTCCTCATCTTCGCTGCCATATTCACGACGTTTCGGCCTTCTTCAGGTGATTTGTTTCTTAGCAAATGTGATAAATTAATTGCATTATGATATCCGTTGATCGTGGGTTGATGATTAAACATAATTAATTGTCTCCTGAAGCTTTTTTGGATTTATATAAAAGAAGAATATGTGTCAATATCTAAAAAAAGCGCTGAGCATTTTATTACAGTTTGCAACATCATATTTATACGAATTAGGCTGCTCTCATCACAATTAAGTGCAAAAAGAGAGGAACTCTTCAATGTATTGGCGAGGAAATGAAGAGTTTGCCTATTAAATACATGTCCAAACATTAAAAAAATTACTAAGACTCGTCAGGCTCATGTTTCTTATAAATACAAGAATGAATAAACATAAGATATGTTTCATTTTATTTTTTTTTTTTATTGCATTATTTCTTTTCTGTAATATTTCACTTCATTATAACATATTTTTCCGAAATTTGTATATAGTGCGCCTAGAATTATTGGTAGGACTTCAAGTACACCCCAACTTCAAAAAGTTTGAGAACTACTACCCTAGTGCGTAGTCCGTTCGTTTTTCGCCGTTTTTTTTTTTCTTTTTTTTTTGTCGTATCAAACTGCCTTCCTAACACGATTTGTTATTCTTGCTGATTATGATTTTGACTACTAAACTTTTTCAACATCAAAGATCAGGTCATTCAATACCGTAATATTTTGGTTTTGTAAAAGTTTATTGATATTCTCCGTTTCAGATTTCTTTAATCTTTGCCTTTAAGAGATGTTAGCATTTCTCCCTTTCGCGTAAAGCTTTTGTGAACGTTCGTATTTTCTCCTTCTATTATTATAGACGCTTCTTTACTTTGTATTAGTCTGTCGGGTTATTTCCTCCTAATTTCCGAAACGGTTATTAGGGGACGCTCTCCGGACTATAAATACTCAGCCATATCTTTTCTCTCCCTCTTCTTACTTTTCCGCTTATACGACAAAAATGTAAATCTCTCTCGAAGATCACGTTTCCCTTTGTAGGAAACGCATAAACAATACATACACGCACACACACACACACATATGTATACACATTCAATCACTACACATGCTTTGGACCAAAAAGCTTCCACATTCATTTGTTACACACACATTATTGTCTTTTGTCACTTGTAACCTTTTGTTGTTAATACATATTCATTTGTTTGTACATATATATCGGTTCTTGTTGTTTCATCACACTTCTTTTGGTGGACTCATACTCCGAGTCCGCCATGTTTGTTGTAGGCATTTCAGCAGACGTGTTTATCTCACAACGCGTACACAGGCCCGCAACATGTCTTAACTTTAGGTTTAACAATCATTTTCTTTCGTATCTGATTCTTCGTTTGTGATGCCTGGAGTTTTAATATATTATTCTTTAATAATTCTTGTTCTTTACTTATTTTCCTCTGCCTTACTTAAAGCTCCACACTTGATATGCAGCTTATTTGGTCTGATCGGTAACTCTCTGGTTCAATATTTTAGCATGATCATTTCTTACTAAATAGCTAGCATTTTCTGCAAACTAGTTTCAATCTACAGTAATTTACTTATTATTCTCATTGTACTATTCTCTTTTTCTATGGCTATTGAATAACATTTGTCATGGAAAGATTCATTTGTTACATTAAGTTTAGAATATTTGCTGTGGTCTAGCGACATTTCTAGTCGTTAAAGCTGAACATTCACTTAACCATGACGTTAACTCCCTGAGCTTTTCTAAAAAAAAGGAAGATAATCTTTAATACGCCATCTAGAAGATACGTTTGTTTATTTTTTGTTTATTTGTTTGTTTAGCATCATATCAACTCCTCTGTGTCATTTAATACAGAAATTTCATTTTCTTGGGAGCATTAGTAATTTTCTTTACAAAAATATATTGTGGTAATTTCTCCTTTTTTTTTTTTTTTTTTTTTTAAATGTATTGCGGGTAATTCTTAGTTCACAAATATGTATTGCTGGTAAATTTTACTTTTTCAAAAATGTATTGCTGGATTTTTTTTTTTTTTTTTCAAAACTGTATTGCGATCATTTTTTTTTAAAATGCATTGCTGGTATTTTTTGTTTTTAAATGTATAACTGCTATTTTTTCCCAAAATGTATTGTTGGTAAATTTTTTTCAGAAATGTGTTGCTTGTATTTTTTTTTTTTTTTTTTAAAATTGTACTGCTGGTAATTTTTTTTACTATGAAAATGTATTGGTGGTATTTTTACGATAAAAAATATATTTTTATACTTTCATAGTGTTTTGATCCTAGTTTGTGGGTTAACTATTTGCCCATAGTTGGAACCCTAACTGGTGCTAACACCCCGGTTCAGGCTGGACATGAGAACAACAGCAATTAAGAGGTGATTCCACACTCTTTGAAACCTCCAATCTCTCGATCAGAAGCATTGCTGCCGGGTGTAGTTTATCGTCATACCCAGAACGACAAAAGATACGTAGTTCGAATTAAAGTAGATAAGCGAGCGTAAAAACATTCCGCAAAACTTCCCACGGGACATTCATTAAATACAGAGCAAGCTTTTTCTTTCTTTATTTCTTTCGCACAACCATTGTTCGGTTTCACCATTCTTTTCCTTTTCTTCATTTTACAGTCAACATTTTTCTTTATTTGATATATTCTTATTCTTTCTTTCATAGTCTTTGTCAGGCTTTCATCTGTCGTTCTATACTTTCTAAGTTTTCTAATCTTAATAAACTTTATAAGGTTTTCATCAGAAATACAAGTAATTTTACTTAAATAAGACACATTTAAAGTAATTGGATTTCAAACTTTGCCTTTCAATATATTTATAAATAATTCCAACACTTGGATCTTTGGTGCCACTGCTAAACGCTTAAAAACATTTAGCGCCATTTAGCTCAATTTTATAAAACAAACTGCTATTTATTTGGGAGTAAATACGGAAATACAGTGTAACCCGGATGTAAGAGAGTTGTCAGGACCGGAGAGGTCTCTTATATCCGGGTTTCTCTTATATCCGGGTTTGGTCTATTTTGTTTAGGTAAGTATGGGAACACTTTGGGACCAGAGAAAATCTCTCTTATATCCGGGTTTCTCTTATATCCGGGTCTCTTATATCCGGGTTACACTGTAATTCGTGTACTCATCTGGATATTTCCATTCCTTTCTTTCTTATGAATTTCTTCACATTGTTCTTACTTCTTTATTTCTTAATCTCCTTCTTTCCGTTTTACTTTTTCCTCTTTTCGTTCCTCATTCTTCAATGCAGTCCTTATTGTGTTACTGCTGAGGGGCCCACCCTTTTTACACAAATGGACTCACCCAATATATACATATACTACGGCTACGTGAAGACCCGGGAGAGCAAGACCTCCGAGTCTAGCTGTCGTGTTACAATCTTTGACTGTAAGCGA